GTAAAACCAGTTTAAAACAAGTTACTTGTCTTATGTAATGCAAAAACGCAGCTGGAATGTTTGTATCTTGATTGCTCTGCAGTATTATCTGTGTCTGCACAATGCAGACAGCAAGAAAGCCATGAACAAAAGCACTAAGTAAATGGAAGAAGGAACTGAACAGCAGCTCAGATATGTTCATGCTTGCTCTCCACTCTACTGCAAACAACTTTCTCCTGTCTCAAATCTATCCTGACAAATAGTGGCAACCTGCCAACAAGGGTTCAGGAACATTACAGAGATATGCAGCATCCTCAAAGCAGACAACAGATCAGGCAAGCTGAACCTGCACATGCCTGTCTAATTCACCTTTGCACTTCGGGTGTACAGATACTGTATGAACCATCCACTCTTACCTTAACTGACTCCAGTTCCATTCGCAGACGATTGTTTTCTGACAGAAGGTCTCTATTTCTGGACTCTGTTTGCTGCAGCTGGGTCTCCAGTTCAGCTTCATACTCTCGACTCCCTTCTTGAAATTCACGCAATTCCTCCTGTGTATTCTCAGCACTAGAGAGCAATTCCAGCAACAGAACTCATCATAATGAACAGGGGGAAAAAGAAAAAATCTCTCTTGTACACACAGGGTTAAAAAAAGAAAAAAAAAAAAAAATGCCCTTTAACATAGAAGGCTCTATGCCCTTCTCCAACATATATATTCAAAAGGAAGAGAAGACCATAGGCAAATGTTTTTCCATCAAGCATGGAAAACCACCCCACAGCAAACTGGTAAATTAAAAAATAAAAAAAATAAAAAAAATAAAGAAAAAAAAAAAGGAAGCCCAAATAAATAGGAAAATCTCAAAGTCTGTCTTAACACTATAGGTGCTGAAGACACTTGGAGTCTTTTTAGCATGTACATTATCCACTGCCATCTGTGTATTTAACCTGCTATTCAATTATTTATTTGAAAATATCAAAGCCATTTTTTATTAGCAATAAAAAGCTAGGAGAAAGATGGAAGATGTTCTTATATTCTATTGAAATATCCTCCAGCAAGCCAAACCAGCAGCACTGAAAGGTCTGAACACCTGGACTAAGAAAGGACCCAAGATCAGCATCTAAAAAGTTTGGATTTTTTTCACCCTTTACTGCATTTAAAGCAACATACCAAGCTAAAGTATGTCCAGTCCCAGCCAGGGATCCTCCTCTGTTTACATGGTGTCAAACCATTCTTGATCCACACAGAGGTGAATCAAGCATCTCTGCAACGGCCCAGATCATCCACCCCCAACGAGGTTCTGCAGCGAGTTACATTCAGCCCAGCTGCCCAGAAACTGCAGTCAGAGGCATAATTTCAGTACACAGTCCTAACTCAAACTAGAGCAGAGATCAACACCAGCAGTACCATAGAGCATAGATTCACTGCTCAAATAAGCATAAAGGACTCTGGGCTGCTGTAGTTTATGCAGAAGCATTGCTACTGCTACCAGACAAGATAGCTGAACTGCCTTGAATATACTTCCCTGTGTGGTGCTACCTGTCTTTGCATGCAGTGTTATGCACCCTATCCAACAATTTAGAGGAATGAAGCCACTGCCTTACCACTGCTTGTATTTCATAGCCAACTCTTTCCAGTATCTGGTTTCCTCTTCCACTGAACTGAAGTTAAGTCCTTCTGAGTCTTCCATTATGAGTCCTCAAAATTTAAAACTCCGGTTTCATTTTTCAACCCCTGGAAAATTAAAGGATCAAGTGTAAGAACTAATGCAGTGAGTTACCTCAGTATTTTTTGCTGCAGAGCAGTGCACACCTCCTCCCAGAAGGTCACTGCACACCTGGAGACCATGCTGAAAATCAGCCTTTACAGGGCTCTGTCAGATATATCATAAATGTTAAAGAATCTTTTATTTCTGAGTAATCAGGTCCTTTTCCCCAGTTCTCAAAAGGCTGCCGCATGCTTACATCACATCCTCAGCAGCGAGCACCTTCCCTACCCTCTGACTATATAGCATGGAGCACCAAATCTCAAACTTCAGCTGCAGCTGCACCCACGGACACAGAACACAAGTGAAACAGAAGAAACCTCAGCCACAACTTCAGCTCCAAAGACAGTGCAATTAAGGTCAATTGCAACAACCCTAAAGACACTTATGAAATTAAAAAGAAACTTCAGACACAGATAAGGTGCTCAAGATTTCTTGTGTTAACATTTCCAGGAACACCAAAGCTTTTTATGGACTTAACTGTTTGACACATGGAAAACTTCTTTCTAGGTCAACATAGGAAAGCTACCCAATTTTAAAAGCCTAAAATATCACAATCCATGTAAGGCAGAGAGGCACCATATATTGTGATACCTCAGAGAGCCATGGGAGAAAGGAGCCCCAGAAATTCCCAGGGAAATGAGAATAAAAGCTCTGCAGAGGTTTTAGTGGGATAATACCACCTGGCTGGACTAGGTATGCAGACAGATTTCAGCAACCCAGTGAGCAATCCAGACTACCCAGCTGTCTCTGTGCCAGCATAAACCCAGTCATGGGACATAGTCCCAAATGGAAAGAACAAATGAATGAGTGACAGGGGAGTCAAGAATCTTAAGTTGGTCATTCCTGCCTGAAGTCTCAAATACCTAGACACCAGAATTAAATAAGTGCCCTCTGATGTGTGTGATGCGCTATAACAAACAGGTCATTAGCAAACGTCATTTTACACGAGTTTGTTATGACAATGGAGAAACAGCAAGCCTAATGCTCTGGACAATCTGCCCATGTCCAACCCTGGGTGAGGCAAAAATTCCACATAAACATTACCAATTTAATAGAAATCCAAATAGATCAAGAAGAGTAAATAAAGGTGGAATCAAACAATATGTGACAAAAGCAGTTGTCCGAAAATTGTACAGCTGAAATCTAATGACTGAGGAAACAGAGTTGTTCTACCACGTTTCAGCACCAGAACTACGGAGCAAAACATTTCCTAGAGGTAACCCTCACAGAATAAAGAGTGGAAAAAAATAGCCAAAGCCTTTGAAGATCATATAGATCATACATCCCACCTTCTGCTCTTATTTATGATATTCAGGAGATGCTGGAGTAGACCTTCTGAGCAGCATATCGTAGCTAAAGAAAATGTGCACCTATTGCCCACTGAACTTGATTGAAAAAATTAGTCATAAACTGTGTTGTGAGTTTCCTCTCCAGAGAATCACCTGGTTTAAACAGGATTAACAGCCATCTATCTAGCAACTCTACCAAGACAAACGTAAGTAGTTCTTAACCTCTACAATAAACAACAGTATCAAGTACTCAAAGTAGTCTGGCAATCTAAAGCCCAATTCTTACACACCAAGCAATGCTGCAAAGTGCAAGTCCTTTTCATAGCCTAGGTGATTTTCAGAAGGTTACTGAGCAAAGAGCAAGCAGCTGTTACAGCTAAGTGAGCTGTGCCCACACACCTCAATGCACAGTATCAACTACACTCTTACAGAAATTACACTACTATTTAGAACGGGAACTGGTGAGGGGAAAAGGTTACTAAGCTTTAGTTTTTATAGTTCAGCTTCTTGACACAAAATCTTAATTAGACAAAGCCACATCTTCCACCTAACAAATAATCCCATGTGATGTACTGACACGCTTCCAGCAAGAAGCCCCAAGGCTGCTGCTGCTTTTTGTATTTATTTACAGAAGTACTCGCTGGGGAGAAAAAAAAAAAAAAAGAGAGGAAAAGGAGTGTGAGTAAGGAGGAGTGACTTTTCCAAACAATATCCTTGCCCATTAACAAGAAAATCACGACCAAGTATAATTAACATTCTTGACCTAGGACAGTTCACAACACGTCTACTCTATTATTTTTAAGTGAACTGAAAGTGCCTTTGATGTTAATGAGCATGTCCTTATGCTCAGGGCACTGTGTACACACACACACCAATCTTTGCAGCATACTTGTGAAGAAAAAAAATTCTCTTTTACAGATGAGGGATAAAGGGTCAGACACAAAGCAGTGATGCAGTGATGCAAAGAGAAACCAAGGACCAGCATCCATTACTGTAGTCAAACGATTCCCACAGAACTGCAAGGCAGAGTCCTTTAGATGGTTCCTTCTCACCACTCACACAACAGGAAGTTTCTGTATTTCTTCAAGAACAGAGATTCCACCCACAGCATGCCTGGCTTTGTAACATAATTTACAATATATTTCAGAAGTCTCCTAAGAGGAATTATTCTGACACAAGCATTAGAATAAATCCCAGATCTATGTTCTGACAGCCACAAAAAAAGTCAGACAAAATAGTGCAAGTCATCTTGCTCCCGCAAGCTTTCCAACAATCCTTTAAAGAGACACAGCTCCTGTTGGCTTCAAGATCTTGAACATGCTCCTATCTGGCTCTCACTTGTGTTTTTACAGTGCACTTTGGAATGACTAAAAGAATGTATTAATTTACATTTTTTAAGATGGTCACATACAAAACAACTTTCCCCAACCGAGCCGTAAGATTTACAAGAATTCAACAGAATCTTGGTAACTTTCACAGAAGTATAAAGATGTTGCACCCTTCTGTTTCTGTCTTTGTAAACATGAGATTAGGACCCACTGAGGATGTTTGCCCTTAAGAATACTCAGTTTCATAGTTACCAGTACTAAATACTACTTACGGTTTAAAATTGTTAAATTGCAAATACATGGAAGGATTGTGGACCTGTAATACTTATTCTACATAGAAGACAACATGGCAGAGACTGTTTCACTATTGTCCAATGCCACAGGCACATGTTTTTTTATCTGCAATGCACAAGGAAGAACTATTAGGTTCCCTGTACACCTGCACTACATCAGATCACAAACTAACCAAAGACGCAAATACCAACTTAAACTGAAAAAAGCCAAGTTTTAGACACAGTATTAAAGCTACTTTTTTAAAATTTCTGGAATTTGTTTTAAAAATCCCAAACACCACTCAAAACTTTCTAAACTGCCTGTAGAAAGGGTAGGGCTTTTCTGACTTTGGTTTTCCCCCTGCTGCCGTCTCCCCTTGATTTTTAACAGCTTGGGGACAGCATGCAAAATACCTGGAGAGTAATTAAACCTATTAGGAACTCCTCATTGTGTAGGCTCACTATAAAAGGAGAGAAGACAAGGGGGTTGAAAGATGTTTTTGTTAAACACTGGCAAATGTAGGAAAACCAAGGAAAGTCACATCCTGTAAGCAGACACACTGGCTGCACCTTACTTATTTCCAAACACACAAAGCCAGAAGAGAGATCTGGCCAGAGTTCCTGCGTGCAAGCAGCACAAGTGCTGGTCACAGACATTACAAAACCTCTACATCATACAGGAAGTGGAAGTGTTTATGGGTGGGGAACGGACTTTCGCAAGAAGAAAAACACCTCAGCATAAATGTTGCAGGAAGGAATTCCATAGAAGTGAGAGCACAACAGCAAAATTCTTAAGGAAAAAAACATCAAGAAAGCCACACACAAGATTATTCCTAGTTCAATTTGGGAATTAGAGCCCGAGTTCACCAAATTCATGAGGACCTCAACTTAAAATCTGTTTCAGTCCTAGGAGAATCGAGGACTCAAGACAACCCTGCATACCAACACTTATTTTTAACAAAAGCACACTTTAGCTTGGTGAACAATGTTGGCCTATCTCTGTAGCAATGTCTGATGGTCTGCATCAAAGAAAATCATATTATAATAAAAAAGTAAAACAGTACCATACATGCTACTGAATTATCCATGGCAGAGATGATGAAGCTCCTATTAGACATTTTTCCTTAATTGTAAACAAACCCGCCCCCCCTTTGCTCCTGAAAAGTAACTTTCCCATCCTATAAAAAAAGATATTTTCTTACAATGGTCCCGTTGCAAGGGTCTTCCTGTAACAATAAGGGCCTATTTTCTTTTGTTTAAGCAATACAAAAGAAAATCACCACAAGAGAAAAAGAAAGTGAAGAGGTCACCCGAGTGCCAGGATTACTGCAGAATCCCACAGCCAGCACTGAAAAGAGTTACCAACATCTCAGGGTCTTCTCTACCAAAAGGCTTAATTCGGCAAAGCCCTCATCTTTTTCAGACACCAGGCCAGCTCCAGTACTTTCGAGTTTCCAGTGATTCCCAAGGAACCTCTGCAAAGTTTTCTCTCCTGAATCGCCTGACTTGAATGCTTCCAGCTGTCAGCCGAGGTCAGCTCATTCCCATTCGGAGCACGAAGCCAGGAAGGAGCTGAGCCATCGGCCACGGCTCCCACGCTCTTCTCCTCTCATCCCCTCCCTGCCCACAGTCGCAAGAGCAACGCCAGAAGGAGATTCAGGCTCACATGGAAGACTACGGGAAGGAGTGTGGGCCGCAGACAGGCAGGGTCCCGGCTCCGTCGCCCCTTACCTCCCCGATCCTGCGCCGGTTACCACAGCAGGACGAGGAACATCAGGAGGGGCTGCGCCACACCGAAATGACCCTATCCCTCCTCAACCCGCAACACAGACGCTCCGCCCGGGCGCTGACTCCCCCTTCCCGCTATCGTGCCGGGCAGAGCAGGGAACAGCACCCCTACTCCCTCACCGCACCCACCACAGAGCGCACTCCACACCGACAACCGCCACTCTCCACAGACCGGCCCGACACGGCCACCCCATTGGCTGCAGGTCACGTGCCCCGGGGGGCTCCGCCAATCAGCGCCGCTAGAACGCGGCTGCTGGAAGGTTTGGAAAGTTTCGTTACTTTC